GCGGAGCTCTGGCAGCCTTTTTGGGCTCCCCACCCTTGGAGGCCGAGTTGGCTGTACTCTGGGGCCTTAACCGGAGGCTCGCCCAGCCCCTTGGGCTCTGGGTGCAGTTGGGAGACCGGAAACCGCAGTGTAAACACACTTTCTCTCCTGGGTTTGATGGTGACCGTGTGACAGGAACAGGGTGGGTGCCCCCGGGCTCCGGGAGGTGCACAGGAAGCTCGGGTGCTGAGCGCCCCCTCGGTTCCCACAGGGAGGTTTGTGCACACCGCGAGGTGGAGGCTTCCCGGGTCTCCAAATCCTGGATCAGCTGCTTGTCGCCGTGCACGAGGTGGGGGAGCCCGCCCGGAGGAGGTGGCCCAACGGCGACACAGCCCAGCGCTTCGGAGCGGCCGCCTGTCAATCACCAGCCTCCGCGGCCGGAGGCTGAGCGGCGCTTGCGGAGCCCGCTGCTGACCCCTAGCGTCCAAAACGCGTCCAGACGCGCAGCAGGTCCCAGAAAATCGACCTGGGGGCGCTTCAGGGGCGCACGGAGAGGACGGCCCTGTCCACAGCTGGACCCCAGCACCTGGGAGTGGGACCTGGTGTGGGGACACGGGGTCTCGGCAGAGGTGGTCAGTGCAGCGCCCTGAGCTGGGCTCCTCCTGGGTCAGGGGGCCCTCACGCCATGGCCGTGTCCTCCCAATGGACAGAGGAGGGGACACAGACCCAGAGGAGGAGCCCCGTGGAGACTGCAGTGAGGGGCCACCCGCCCAGGGCCACCCGGAGCCCAGCAGCTGGAGAGGCAGGAGGGGCCTCCCTGGAGGCTGTGCAGGGAGGTCAGCCGGGGACCCTGGTCCAGCCTGTGCCCTCCAGGGCTGGCAGAGGACAGATCCCTAAGGCTCTGAGGCCCCTGGTCCGCAGGCCCTGGACACCAGTCCCGAGGACAATTTGCAGAACAAGAAATGACCTCGTTGCTTCCTGGACGGCCTCCTGCAGACACCAGCCTCGGCCGGCAGGGGGCAGGAGAGGGACGAGGTTTAAAACAACCCTCTTGGGCAGATCCCAGGTTTCCTGCAAAATGCAGCCTTTTGGGCCCAAATCCCTGGTGCTTCCAGAACTTCCTTCCGGGGCCCCGGGGGAAGGGCCTGGGAGAGGCCCCCACCCCCAGAGCCCGAACCCCGAAACCTGGAGCGGGCCACAGCGGCCTCCCAGTTTCTTCCCAGAATCCCTTGCAGAGGCAGGTCGGCGCCTGTCAATCAGGAATCCGCTGCCCGTCCCCTCCCCCAACCAGGGAAGGCTGCCCTGCAGGGGGAGGGTCCTGCGGACTCTGGGCAGCCCGGGGGCCTCCGCGAGGGTCAGGGGATTAGCAGAAGAAAGGGATTCCTGGGATTCCAGAGGGGACAGGGCCACCCGGAGCCTGGGAGGGACCCTCCCGTCCCTCCCCCAGCGCTGGCTGCTGGTGCAAACCCGCCCTGAACCCGGCGTCTGCAGCGGACCCAGTGCTCAGGGGGGAGGGACGGGGATTCCTGATGTATGGGGGAGGGGGAAATTCCATGTCCCTGCAGGGCCCAGGGGGACCCCAGCTGTTGGAGACGGGGAGGGAGGGACCCGGGAGCCCCCCGTCCCAGCCCACAGCCAGCCCTGGGTTCTGGAAGCTGTGCACGCCCGGGACCTGGCAGCCACTCTGGGGTTGACTGCAATCTTAAAGGGCCAGCGCCCAGGAAAGGCTTGGGGGTGCGGGACAGAGGGCAGCAGAGAGGGACTGACCGGCAGGTCCCCAGCCGGGGACATCAGCCTCCAGGAGGCTTCAGGGTCCCCCAAAGCAGGAGCAGGAATGCAGAGTCCAGCTGAGCTCGGGGGACCCCAGGGCAGGGGACGGAGGGAGCCGGGCACCAAGCCTCCTGGGGTCCAGGGGCCAGGCCAAGTGACCAGGGCCTGGTGGTGAGGACAGATGACACAGATGCGCCGGGTGCAGCGGCCTCTGCAGGCCCCTTGGTCCCCCTCCGCCCCTCCCCCGCCAGGACTTCCTTGGGAGCCAGGGACAGGCATCCGGCCATCTTGACCGGTCACCCGCAGGAGGACACACGGTGACTGTCCCCAGGAGGAAGGAAGCAGGGTGAGGTGTCCCCTGTGTTGGCATTTCAGGGATCTCAGAGGGGCACAGCCCTGAGAGACAGGGCACAGGCCCCGGTCACACGTCACCATGTCCCCACGTCACCATGTCCCCACATCACCAGGGCCACTCACCCTCTCGGGACTCAGCTCAGGACCTCGGCTGCCCACGCCCCCGCGGCTGTGGACAGTCCCCAGCCTGCGTCCTGGGCTGCTGTCCTCTTTCTTGGCTCCTCACTCTCTGATTCTCAGTGGCCACTTGAGCACTGGGCAGCGGGTCATGCGGGGAACTGGACACCAGGCCCCTCCTCCCGGCTGGGGACGGCCAGCGAACCAGGGGGACCCAGGTTGCTAGAAAGTTCCATCGTCGACCCCAGAAGGACAAAATCCAAGGGTAACTGACCACAGGGCACCAGGACTGCCCAGCTGACCGCTGCGCACCCTGGAGGACCTCAGGGGACAGCGCCCTGGATCCGCCATGGGCTAGGGCAGAGTCACACCCAGTTGTCACCTGCTTGTCCGTGTGGCTCCCAGGTCTTTGTCCCCAAGGAGACCCTGGGCGTGGCCAGGGAGCAGGGACCTGACCATGATGGACTGTCCATTCTAGATGATCCTCCACCATGGCGCTCAGGGGAGAGAGCTCCGGGCAGCTCCAGGGCCTGGCCATGAGACCGACTCTCAGCAGAGTGACCTCAGGGGGCTGCTGTGTGTCACGGTCCCTGGCTCAGGGGACACCGGGCCACCTGTGACGCTGGCCCTTGGTGGCCACGCTCTCTGCCGTGGGCCTCCTCTATGCCCAGGAGACTCGGGGGACACGGAGAGTCTGGGGGCAGCTTCTCCTTTCCACCATGGACCGTCCGCTCCTGACCACGTCCTGGCCCTGAAGCCACCTCTGTCCCTGAGAACAGGAAGTGGGGGACAAGGACTCTGGGCCCAGGGCAGGGGTGAGGGGTCAGGGGGCCTTCGTTCCTGGAGACGGACAGCGCCATGCAGTGAGGGGACCCTCCATGGACCCCCGGCTGGGCAGCCTCCCCAGGACCTTCTGGGGGGACCCTGGGGGTGATGGACATCAGTGGTCAGCGCCAGTGGTCAGCGTCAGCCAGGAGGTGCTCATCACCAAGACCAGGTGACCAGGACCCGGCGAGACCACGGGGGGGAGCTCTCGGGGTGGTGGCATCTCCACGTGGTGGTCAGGGTCAGCCAGGGGCAGGCACCATGGACACTAAGGAGTCCCCTGGGTCCAGCTGGGCGGCCCAGGGACCCTCTGTTGGGACCCTGCGAAGTCCAGCTGCAGAATCGGGAGGGGACCTGTCCTCTGGGTCCCGGAGACCAGCACCTGAGGCCAGTGGGCAGTGCCCTGGACGCGGCTCTCCCTACGGCTCTGGTCCTGTCCCCCAGCCCAGGGCACGGCGCCCGCCTGTCCCTGGGTCCTGAGAGGCCGGTGACGTCCCCCGGGTCCCTCTCCTCCTATTGCCACAGTCCTAACAAAGATTGTCCCCAGTCCTTCAGCTCAGTGTGGCCTGGGCTTCTTGGACAGGTGACAACGTGTCCCTGCAACCAGGGACCACGCCTGCCCCATCCTGAAATGAGGAAGCCCAGAGGGGGGGACGGAAGGGACCCAGCGAGAAACGGGAAGCCCTGGGCCCAGGACGTGAGTCGGCGGGTGACGTTGGGTGCTCACAGGCTGCAGAGGGAGGTGGCACTTCAAGATGGCGGCCTGAGGCTGGAGCCGGGACCCACAAGTAAGGACGGAGGCAGGGAGGCAGGGAGGCAGGGAGGCCGGGAGGAGGCCGGGAGGTCAGGGTGGCGGGGCGGGCCGGTCCCTTGGCTCCGTGGACTTTCCAGTTGCCAAGTCCCCTCTGTGCAGTTTGTGGCTTCGGTGGCTCTGGCTGCGGGTCAGCGTGGAGCTGAGGGTGGGCGATGGGGACGGCAGGTGGAGGGACGGGGACGGCCGGGAGTGACCGGGAGGAGTGCCACCAGCGCCTGGGCTCTGCACTCTGAGGTCTGCCTCAGACGAGGAGATGGACCCGGTGGCGCTGGGAGGTGTCATCAGGGGACACTGATGTGTCCAGCCTCAGGTGGTCACCTGCCGACCCTGGGAGCCCGGGTCACTCATGGGCACCAACAGGTCTTGGGTGCATCCATTTAGGTGTGTCCCCTCTTTGTCCCGTGGACAGGTCACTAGGGGGACAGGAGAGCTCCGGGTACCAAGGGGTTGCGGGATGGACGGGCTGGGCGCTGGGCAGGTCCCCGGTGAGTGTCCAGGGGGTGAGGACGGGCGGGACTGGACGCTGAGGGTCAGCTGGGCTGCAGGGAGGGTCTGCTGGGGGAGGGGACCCGGGTGGTGGCTCCTGGGGAGCTGGGAGGTCCCCCGGTGCCTGCAGATGACCAGGTGGACAGCAAAGGGGTGTCCCCCAGGGCAGAAGCCCCCAGAGGAGCGCCCCAGCTCCCGGGCCCAGGTGGTCAGCGGAAGGTGGGACCTACGGGTGACCGAGGGCTTCGACGGGGGATGAGGACCCGTGTCCACAGGGTGAATGTCGAGAAGGACAATCCTGAGCCCAGATGTCCACTCCCAGGGTGTCTGGGAGGGAGAAGCCGCCGGTGAGCCGGGACAGGAGCTGGACACCGGGGTCAGCAGGGGGAGGGGCAGGGAGCAGGGTGACGCGGAGGGTGGAGGGAGGGACAGAGCTCCCGGCCCCCGAGTCCAAGGGCGTCCAGCAGCTGCACCCTGACCAGGCCAGCCGCTGGCCGCCGGGTCCACCTTGCAGAGATGGAGGCCCCAGCCCCAGGGCCACCCGCAGCGAGGTCCCTCTCCTGGGGACTTGGAGGAGGGGTCAGGTGCTCCCGGAGGGAGCCGATAGCGCCCCCCTGTGGTCACTCCCGAGGGGACCGAATGATGGACTCGTACGTAGGACATTTTTGCAAAATATCAGAAAAAATATCTTTTTCTTCCAAAAAACAAAGTAAAAAAATAGAAAATCTCTCGAGCGAGGGTCAGTACTCGGGCGACGGAGGACGGGAGGGAGCACTTCCGGACATCTCGGGGGGTGGACGCGTCCCTCCGTGCCCACCTGCGGCTCAGTTCACTTCTTGCACCGTGAGGACGTCCTCCAGATCCTCTTTGCTGGCCGCTGTGGCCTCGGCTGCCCAGTCCATCTGAGGTAAAGAAGGGGGCGGTCAGCGTCCGATGTCCACCAGCCCCAGGGGAGGGACAGTTTGTCCTCTGATGAGGCTCTGGGATGGTCAGTAGGACCTTGTGGTGGACACAGGAGGGTCACCGAGGGACGAGCGTAGGAATGGGGGAACCCAGAGAACCCAAAGGCACGTGCAAAGGCCCGGGGGCCAGAAGCGGCTTGGATCAGAGGTGGGATAGAGAGTGTCCCCCTCCCTGTCCCTCTGTCTCTCTGTCCCCGTCTCCTGACCCACTGCGTAGACAGAATTCCAGCCACCTCCGTGCCATCCCCGTGGCCCCCTGGGAGGGCACAGCGCGTCCCGGGCTACCTGTCCCCCTGCGTTCCCTCCCGGGGGACCCTCTGCCCCTCGCAGGTACCTGGTGGTCCACTTGATCGTTTGGGGTCACTTTGTCTTTGACCTGAGGGATTGGGGGGAAGAGTCTGCGCAGCCCTTGGGACCTGGGGACACAGAGAGGAAGGGGGACAGGTGACGGGGACATACGGCTTTCCTACTGGCTCCTGGGTCCAGCTCTCCAGAGGAGCCACAGGGGGACAGAGTGGAGGAAACCAGGACCACGGGGTCACAGAGGTACACAGTGTCACACAGACCCGAGGAGAAGCCACGTGCAGACGGAGGCAGAGACTGGAGTGACGGGCCACCAGCCCGGGCGCCTGGAGCGCACCGTGCCTGCATCCCACCGCTCCCTGGTTCTGTTCCTTTCTGCTTCCTTCAGGGGCGTCTGGGAAGCGCCTGAGACCCTGGTGGGCCCTGAAACCTCACCTGTGAGGCTCCCCCAGCTGACCATGTCCACCCGGGTGGACCCCACTGCGGGGAGGGGCCTGAGCTCCCGAGGTCTGGGGTGCGGGAGGCCCCCAATTGGAGTTTTGAGGCCAAAGGAGGCGGAGCCCAAGCTGCCAATCAGCGTCTGCGGGGTCCCCTGCCCAGGCCCCAGGCCCTCCGCGGGGTCCCCTGCCCAGCCGCGAGCCCCTCTGCAGCGCCCGTCTGTGCCCGTTCTCTGGTCACGCGGTTTCCAGCGCCCTGTCCTCCTCCCGTCCCCCACGTCCAGCTAGGAGACTCCCTGGCCCCCGGCTCTGTCCCCTCCGAGGACAGGCCAGCTCTGAGCCGTCCCTGCCCTCCCGGGTCCCCTGCCCCTCAGCGGTTACCTGTTGAGCAGGAAGCCGAGGACCAGGGCGCAGACGAGGGTCCCCAGGACCACGAGCAGGTAGACGTGCACGAGGCCGCCCTCCTGTCCCCCGGAGCCTGCGGGGACACGGCCCGGCTGTCCGTCACGGCGGTGCCCAGAGGCGTCCTCGGGCCTGGCTGGCCACCCAGGGCGGGAGGGGACCCAGGACAGAGGTCCCCACCTGGCCCCAGGTGGCCCGGGGTCTGCGGAGCTGGACCTTCCTCCCCGAGCCCGGCCACCAGGGGGACCGTCCAGCAGGGTGACCGGGACCCGAGCAGGTGGGTAAGTGGACCCCTGTGCACAAGGCGAGTCCCAACGTGTCCTCGTGAGTGTATGTCCACGTAGGGGGACCGTGACCAGGACCAGTGCTGCTGACCATTACTCACGTGATGTGATGATCACTAATTAGTGCTGCGGATCATTATTCATACGATAAGATAATTATTAATTAGTGCTGCTGATTATTATTCATATGATGTAATGATTATTAATTAGTACTGATGATTATTATTCATATGATAATTATTATTAATTAGCGCTGTTATTATTCATATGATATATTATTATTAATTAGTACTGTTGATTATTATTCATATGATGTAATGATTATTAAGTAGTACTGATGATTATTATTCATATATGATGATTGTTATTAATTAGTACTGTTGATTATTATTCATATGATATGATAATTATTAATTAGTACTGATTATTATCCATATGATATAATGGTCATTAATTAGTACTGACTATTATTCATATGATATGATGATTACTAATTAGTACTGTGGATCATTATTCATATGATATAATTACTACTAATTAGTGCTGTTGATTATTATTCATATAATATGATAATTACTGATTAGTACGGTGGATCATTATTCATATGATATAATTACTACTAATTAGTGCTGTTGATTATTATTCATATGATATAATGATCATTAATTAGTATTATTGATTATTATTCATATATGATAATTATTAATTAGTATTGTTGATTATTATTCATATATGATAATTATTATTAATTAGTATTGTTGATTATTATTCATATGACATGATGATTACTAACTAGTACTGTGGATCATTATTCATATGATATAATGATAATTATTGATTATTGCTGATTATTATTCATATGATATAATGATCATTATAATTAGTACTGATTATTATTCATATATGATAATTACTAATTAGTACTGTGGATCATTATTCATATGATATAATTACTACTAATTAGTTCTGTTGATTATTATTCATATAGGACAATTATTAATTATTATTGTTGATCATTCATATAGTAATTATTATTAATCATTGTTGTTGATTATTCATATAGTAATTATTATTCATTATTGTCATTGATTATTATTCATGTAGTTTAATGATTATTGATTATTATTATTCATATAATAGAATAGTTTTATTGATTATTATTGTTGATTATTATTCATGTAACATAATGATTATTATTAATATTGTTGATTATTCATATAGTATGATTATTATTATTGTTGATCATTATTCATATAATAATTATAATTTTCATTAATTATCATAGTTGATTACATTCATATACTAATAATAATTATTGCTGTTGATTACTATTCGTATACTAATAATTATTGTTGATTATTATTCATATAATAATAATTGTTATTAATTATTATTGTTGATTATCATTCATATAATTATGATTATTATTAATCCTTGTTAGTTGTCATTTCTATAGCATAATGATAATTATTAATTATTATGGATTATTATTCACACAATAGAATAGTTATTGATTATTATTGTTGATTATCATTGATATAATATAATAATTATGATTAATTATTGTTGATTACTCATATCACATAATAATCATTCATTCTCATTGATTACTTTTCATGTAACATAATAAGTATTATTAATCATTGATTATTTTCATACAACATAATAATCATTATTGATTATTGTTGACTATTCGTATAGTATAATAATCATCATTAATCATCGTTGCTGATGACCATACGTATAATATAATGATACTTATTGATGATTGTTGATTATTATTCATATAATAGTAATAATTATTAATCATTGTGGATAATTCATATATTATCATAATCATTAATCATTATAGTTCATTATCATTCATATAATACAGTGACATTATTATTGTTGGTTATTCATAGGATAATTATTATTATTGATTATTGATCATAATTCATGTTAAATGATGATTATTATCACTATTGATGATTATTATCACTATTGATTATTATTATTACTATTGATTATTATTAGTAGTAGTGATCATTATTATTATTGATTATTGATTATAATTCATGTTAAATGATGATTATTATCACTATTGATTGATTATTATTATCACTATTGATTATTATTAGTAGTAGTGATTATTGTCATTATGCTGAGGCTGGGACCCACGGGGGCGAGTGCGGTACCGACGTCCCTGTGACATGTTTTAATATTTGACGACATCTGGAGGCGGGTGGTTAGATCTTTTTTTCTAACCAGCAATGGAGCCCAGGGACCCTTATCCCGTGAGCCCGGTCCCCTCCTTGTCCGTTTTATTTAGGGACAGGGTCTTCCCAGATTGCTCAGGGCCTCACTCAGTTACGGAGGCTGGCCTCCCACTCTCGATCCTCCTGCCTCAGCCTCCCGAACCACTGGGATGCCAGGCGTGGGCCGCTGCGTCCGGCTGATTGTTTTTCTGTTTTATGTCGCAGCCCTGGACAGGGGACCCACGGCCTCGCGCATGCCACCCATTCGCTCCTCCAGTCCCAAGACCCTTCCCCCTGCCTGGGGACCTGCAGCGGTGACTGAGTGACCTGCCCCAGGGGAACCCGCGGATGCATTCTGGCGGGTGCAGGGCTTGGGCTGCAGGAAGGGGCTTAAGGAGTCCCCTCTTGGGTCGCGGAGGGAGCCCGGCCTCTGCTGTGCCTGGACACCCTGAGTCTGTGCCAGGTCCAGGGACCTTGTGGGAGCAGGCAGAGGTCACCCGGGAGGGAGTCTCCCGTGCACACAGCGCGCCCTGGCCGTGCGCCCTGGCTGTGCGCCCTGGCTGTGCGCCCTGGCCGTGCGCCCTGTCCCCGGGTTTACCGAACTCCACGGGGCGGCTCCAGTGACCCCAGGGTCCCCCGCGGGAGTCCGCGGCTCTGATCCTCAGGCTGTGAGGGCCTCTGGGCTCCGGGCTGGGCAGGTGGTACAGGTTGTGCACTTCCCCGGAGACGTTGATCTTTGGAGAGGGGACAGAGTTAGAGCTGGGGCCGTCGGCCTCGCGGAAAGAACGGGGGTTCCAAGCGCACTCTGTCCATCAGACCACGGCGCCCCCACGAGAGGAGCATATTGAGAAATAAAGCGCTCTGCATCTGTGGGTCCCCCTTGGGCACATGCAACCCATTATTGGTCCCCTCCCCCCAAATAATGACCGCTAGATGGACTCCCTTCCTCTAAATATGGACAGGGAAGTGACTCAAAGGAGCTAGCCCAGAGACAACGGTGGACGTTTGTACCACCGAAGAGGACTCCGGGGTCACAGTGGTGCTGAGGATTGGGAAATACGGAACAGAAGGACTTGAGGGATCTGCCTTTCCAGGTGTTTGGGAGGGAGCTACAGGGAGTGCTGTCCCCTCGGGGGACTCGAGGGCTCTGTGGACACATCTGGGCACAGAATCCCACCCATCCTGGCCACTGCTGGTGACGCTGGCTCTCAGGAAGGGTCCAGTTGGCCGACGACGGCGGACGTCCAACTCACCACTGAATTGTCACCGCCGGCTCTTTCCGTGTTCTAGGACAGAGGAAGGTGGACGGTTGGACACTTTCAAGGGCTTTCCCAGAGGCTGACTGTCCACCTCGTATCTGGGTGGACTCGGGGGGGGGGAACCACAGATCTTGGTCATTCTGCCTCTCCACGTCTTCCCCATTCCCAAGGTTGTCACTGTCCCCACTCCTGGCTACCCAACGCCCCTCCTCGGCTGGTGGTCCACGCACGATGCCCCTGTCCATAGCCCCTGCTGGACCTCCTGCAGTTCCTAGGGTCACGGTCCCCGCCCACGTCATGTCCCCGTGGGCGCTGACCTGTGTCCGGATGCCCAGCTGATACTGGAAGTCCAGGTAGGTCAGGTAGGTCTTGGTCCTGGGCTGGTTCCACTGGAGGACGCAGTGAGACGTGTTGCACTGGACGCTGATGTTGTCCGGGGGACTGATCTGCTCTGTGGGGACAGTCAGGCACCTCGGTACCTACGTGAGCTGCTCCCCTGTCACCTCCCCGCCGAGCGCCACCTGCCCACCACCGATGGTCAACACCTGGAGCTCCGGGGGGTGGTCCTGAGGACCCCCGGGGGCTCCGAGCTCATCCCCAGGGGACAGTAAGGTGGCTGTGGGGGTCAGGGTCAGGGTCAGGGTTGGGGTTCAGGCGTAAAGTTAGGGTTAGGATTGGAGTGAGGGTCAGGGTGAGGTTTAAGATTGACAGATGACCACTTGCCATCTGTGGGAAGGTGCCCAGTCTGCCCCATGGTTAGAGAAGGAGGCATATGGTGGCCTTTGGTGACATCTGAGCCTATTTTTCAGACATGAACAGGAAGCAGGTGAAGGTGACGGACATTTCCCAATTAGGTTTGAAAGAAGGAATCTCCTTCAAATCAAAGGGACGTCCATAGTGGGGGGGGGGGGAGACAAGCAAGTGCCAGGGAAGGACATTGGCCAAATTTTGTCATTCTATCGTGTGCATATGTAGCAATTAATCCCACCTATAGGTGTCACTCTAATTCACCGATACAAAATCTGGGGGAAAAAAAAAGTCAGGCTTGGATGACCCTCAAGGATGAACGTGAGAACAATCTCTCCCTCCCTATCCTGGATCCAAGTAGCCTCAGTTCCTTTCTAGACACGTCAACTCAAGAGCCCCAAGGGCTCTGTGGAGGCCCTCTTCTGGCAGAGAAAGGGACCCCAATCTGGTGACAACTTTGCCTCCATATTTCTCTAGACCTCTAGCCCCCGCCACGGCCAAACCAAACCCAGGCTCTGCCCTCACCCATCTCCCTTGTCGACAGGATCAAATCGAAGAACCGGATCCCCGTCCCCCGGCTGGTCCCGTTCACCAGGAAGAAAGTTCTGTACTTCAACTTGGAGATGTCTCGCAGGTGGCAGCCCCTGTGGGTCCCCGAGTCTTGTATGTAGTGGGGACATTCGGTCTCATCACTTTCACTGTTAGCTCTCAAGAAAGAAAAGAAAGAAAGAAAAAAAGAAATTGGCATTTTTTTTCCTGCCCCCCTTGGCGTCCCGCCACGATCCCGCCGACGACATCGGGGCTTACTTCAGCTGTCGCAGGTACAGAAAATACTGCACGTCGCTGGGGGCCGCAGGGCCCGGCGCCCAGGTGCAGTTCATGAAGGCCCCGTTGTAGATGGCGCACGACAAGTTCCGGGCGGCGGTGCCCTCTGCACCTGGGAAGAGGGGCTCGGCGTCATTTTCTCCCCAGGGTGGCGGCATGGGGGGACAGGGGGGTCCCCACCGGCCTGCCCACCTGGGTTGGTGAAGGGCAGCTCCTCCTGCACCGGGGCCCCGTCCACGGTGGTGCTGACCTTCAGCGTGGCGCCTCCGTGCAGGGCGACCCTGGTAAAGGTGCACTGGCAGGACTCGGCCTCGGCCTAATCAGAGACGGCAACCGAAGTCCCCTGTCGTGGGGCGTCCCTGGGGTGTGTCCCCCC